CTGCGGACCACCAAAATTTTCTCGTGGACGTTGGTGACGGCTGCCTTAAAGGAAGCAGCTGAGCTATTTTCGCGGGCGAAAAAGCCGCGGGGAACAATTGCTTCACATCCACGGAAGCCAAGCTTGACTCAAAAGAGACCCCCAAATTATACCACCAACATCCTGCAAAAGTGAGGGTCATTTACTTTTTCCAAAGGGGGAAACTATCTTGCATCTACACCCCCAAATCAGCTCTTCGGATGTCAGGCGGGATTCAGGTTTCCCCGCTTCCCCACTGAGCGAGCAAAGAAACTGGCTTGCAAACCCCTCTCTTCTCCGGCTTAATTACCATAATTTGGGAATAATTTAGGCTCGGCTAATTAAATGTTCTTTCTTGTCGAAGGAAAGAAAGAAGGGAGGGAAGGAGGGTGTCGCCATTCTCCACTTGGCCTCACGCAGCCCTGGATTCACACCGCCGTTCTCATGGCAACACGGCACTGTGCGTTTCCCTCCCAACCCGGGTGACGGCGTGTGCGTTTGTGTGTGTGTGTGTGTGTGTGTGTGTGTGTGCGAAGATCCATTTCAGCTTCCCCAATTTTTGTTTCCCACTTTGCTCGCCTGTCCGAAAAGTTTGACGTATTCCCCTCGGCGTCGGCTCGACGTGCAGCAAAGAACTGCCGAATATTCCAGCCGGGTGCAGGACGTTACGGAGTGCCTCGCCTGACAACAACCCCTGTTGCACGCTCCCTCTCGGTGACACGCAAAACACAGAACCAAAGAGCTGCGTCTTGCACGCGTTGCTAATGGGGCTTTGGAGCCCAAAGGAGAGAGAGAGAGAGAGACCCTGCCTTGGCTTATGCGCTGTGTGCCACTCGCTTGGAGGTGCTGCAGAGATAGCGGGAAGATAGCACCCTGTTGTCGTTGGCCCTGGGGTGTGTGTCCATCCGAAGGCAGCACAGGTGATCCTCGACTTACGATGGGTTGCTTAGCAACCATTCGAAGTGATGACAGACCTAACTTATTTATGACCCGGATTCAAAGTTCTGAGGGTCGGCACTCCCCTCCCATGGTCATGTGACCGAATTTCAGGCGCTCGCCGGCGGCGTGGCATGGCTGCTTGCGGTCTCCCGTGGACACACGGGATTGCGGTTTATGATGGTCTTGCCAAAAAAAAGTGGCCCTTGTTCCCGGTTTTCAGCAACCATAGCAAACAATTGCTTCACTTAAAGGACTGCTGCAAAAACAAGGTCATAAAATCGGATCGGCCATGCCACACTCTGCCCTGCTTGTCTGATTTATAGAGTCTGTGTTTGGTAAGGTTTTCATTGTTGGAGCTTGTAAAGGTGGCCAGACTCATATGGATTGGGTTGGTCTGTAAATTGGATGGAGGGATGGAGGGATCGGATGGATTGGTAAGATAGCAAGTCGATGGACAGATGGATGGGTGGGCGGCTGGCTAGATGGATGGCTGGCTGGATGGAGAGACGGATGGATGGATGGGTGGGTGGGTGGATGGAGAGATGGATGAATGGCTGGGTGGAGAGATGGGTGGAGAGACAGATGGATGGAGAGACAGATGGATGGAGAGATGGATGGAAGGAGGGATGGATCAATTGATGGACTGATGGATTGAGGCATCAGTTGATGGATGGATGGATGGATGGATGGATGGATGGATGGATGGATGGATGGATGGATGGATGGATAAGATAGCAAGGCAATGGACAGATGGGTGAGTGNACTATTCTCCAAGGCACCTGAGGGTAGAACAAGAAGCAATGGGTGGAAACTCATTAAGGAGAGAAGCAACTTAGAACTGAGGAGAAATTTCCTGACAGAACAATTAAGCCGTGGAACAGCTTGCCTCCAAAAGTTGTGAATGCTCCAACACTGGAAGTTTTTTAGATTATGTTGGATAACCATTTGTCTGAAGTGGTGTAGGGTTTCCTGCCTAGGCAGAGGCGGTAGATTAGAAGACCTCCAAGGTCCCTTCCAACTCTGTTATTCTATTCTATTCTATTCTATTCTATTCTATTCTATTCTATTCTATTCTATTCCAGAATCAGATGGGTCAAAAACTGCCTCATAAGAAGAAAACAGATTATCTGTCTTGTCCTGTATCCTGTCCTCACAGTGGCCATATAGAACATACTGCATAAATGCAAAAATAGCCTTCAATTTATACTTCTCAGCAACTGTCATAATGTCCACACAGTAGTCCTCGATTTACAAGTTTTAGAAGTTACAACCAACCCCCTAAAGGTACTTATAACTAAAGTTACAATGGCTAAGGGTCCATATTCTGGGCACCACCCTACATTTTTGTCTATGTTCTGACCCAGCTCCCCAAACTGTCTGACTTTAACTCAAATATTCCTTTATTAGCAAAAGAAAGTGTCTCCCTCATTGCAGGCTAACAAGCACGTCCAGTCAGAAGATGAACAGTTGTCTGCCACATCTATTCATTTCTGCCCCCTATCTTTTATCTCCAAAGCTAGGGTAGGGCTTCGCTAGCAGTGGTGGCTGTTCCTTCCCAAGGATCGGCCCATGGATCTCCACTGCTCTCCTATCCTCTGCTTTCTGAATACTCGCACGTCAGGCACTGGACCCAGCTGTTCCTCCTCTTCCTCATTCTCCACCTCTTGGGGCTGGTTGACTCTCCATCTGAGGGCTCCTGGATGACCCAGGCTCTGCCTCTACCCCTCTCTTTACCAGCTCCATTCCTTCTTCCCCCTCGGAGCTCTCTGGTTTCCCTGACTCCCATGCCGCCGCCTCCTCCTCCTCCTCCTCCTCCTCCTCCTCCTCCTCCTCCTCCTCCTCCTCCTCCTCTTCCTCCTCTGAGTGGGCTGTTAGAGGGACAGGCAGCTGATCAGTCCACAACAATCCATTTGCCATCCCATGTTTTATGACGTTTTTGTCAGACACCACAGTTTGCATAATCACTGCCACAATTGCTATATGACTGCTTCAAAAAAAAAGTTGTAAAATTGTATTGGTCATATCAGGACCTGCATTATGTTTGCCGTGACTTATGCCCATAATTGCCAATTACACTGTAAGTTGAGGGCTACCTATAAAATTCAATCAGGCATTTAAAAATCATTAATAGCCCATGGATGCTAACTCATTGGAGACATTCCATTTGTAACATATTAGATAAAGGATTGTCCTTTGAAGACAACACAGAAATAATGAATAATGCAGAGCATGGTATTAATGTAATGTGTGTGTGTGTGCTTCTCTTTCAGCAGAAAGTTTCCGAAGGCACTTAAAATGAACACACAGGGCCAGTCGTACACATGCACACATATACACAACAAAATATAAAAATAATGCTTGCACAATGCAAGTATGAGTATCAGAAATATTGATTGAAGTTCACTTAACACTTTCCAGAAGGACAGCATGTTATTTCTTCTGCCACTTCCAATTATGGAACCCAACCACCTTGGAACTCAATATTGCTCCAACAGGGCTAGTGGAGTAACTTTCTTTTTTTAAGTATATAAAAAAAATCTGTTTTCTAGTCCTACTACCTCCTAGTCCTACCTTGCCACCTGTACTTTATATCAATCAGGCACCAAACCCAATTTTAACCCATCAGGCACCAAAACCAAGAAAGACATACTGAGTCTAAAGTGGTTTCCTTTATTGTTCCTCAGCTAAAATAGAAATCTTACCAAAGTAAAGCAAACTTCAAGTCGTCCTCAACTTACAACAGTTCATTGAAAGTTATAGTGGCACTGAAAAAAAGGTGAACTATGACCATTTTTCACACTTATGACCACTGTAGCATCCCCATGGTCAAAATTCATACACTTGGAGACTGATTCATATTTATGACAGTTGCAATTTCCAAGGGTCGCATGGCAAGAAAGGTCATAAAATGGGGCAAAAGCCAGGAGTGGGATTGAAAAACATTAGCAACTGGTTCTCTGCCTGGTCTCTGGGTGGGTGTGGCCATGCACCATGGTGGGTGGGGGGAGTTTTCACCCTCCCCAGAGTCCGAAGGCTCTCCTTGAGCCTACAGAAGGTGGAAACGGCCTCCCCTGGGCTCCAGGGGCCCTCCAGAGGGCAGATATGGGCTCTTTTCTGGACTTCCGGAACTTCCAGGAGGCCCATTTTCACCCTCCCAGAGCCTCTGCATAGGCCCAGCACTTACCTGGCATCCAAAACAGGCTTCATGGAGACTCCTGGATGGGGCAGAGCAGGGGCAGCCAATCTTTGCAACTACCGGTCTTGCAAACCAGATATAAAATGAGCATCTGGTTCACCCAAACTGGTCTGAACCGGCTGAATCTCACCCCTGGACAAAACTCACTTAAATGTCCCACTTATCAGCATAGCTTTGGGGCTCAATTTTGGTCATCAGTCAAGGACTACTTGTATGTGCACCATTAAAGATATCCTCTGATAACTTCTAACGTGGAGATGTCTTTGAGTTTCTTCTTCCGAACCAAATTATTTAAATTTTGCTCTCTCTTGGTTCTCTGTTCCCCTCCTGGGAATCCAATAGCAATAGCAATAGCAATAGCAGTAGACTTATATACCGCTTCATAGGCCTTTCAGGCCTCTCTAAGCGGTTTTACAGAGAGTCAGCATATTGCCCCCAACAATCTGGGTCCTCATTTTACCCACCTCGGAAG